AAGAAAAGGGCTTGAACAACCCCTGTAAATAGGCTCAAAAGAGGGGAACACCAAGCTAAATGTGCCAGTGGGATAAGGCAGAACTACGCAGGGGTAAGGTAGAGGAGGTGGAGAGATGCTAAATCGAGGTGGGCGGAGTGACTCAAGGTGTGACTAGAACAGATCCTGCAGCCCTATGGGAGGAGCTAAAATCAGAGTGGGCGGAGTCATGTCCATGTGGGCGGGACATAACTCTAGAGTGGGTGGTTGCTCTCAGCGTTGAGGGGCGGTGCTTCTTGCGTTCAGAGGCGGTGTTGGAATTTGACTTTAAGGCTGTAAACCACAACAGCTCAACTTGGTGGGTGGGCACGCCAAATGTTGCTCCAGGTGGGCGAAGCCTAAGCAAAAATGAGCAGAGCGGGCATCCGACACAACCTGCGGTAAGCCTGAGCCATTCAGGTACCTGGTGGGCGTGGCTAAAGTTGGGATGGGCGGGCGCACCCGGGATGAGGTGGGATTTACTGAGGTGGGACCTGGAATCTGAGCGATTGGAGACTTCGAGCCTCGCTCCAGCGTTCTCCTAACTCACCACACAGCCGGCCCTGGAACTGGAGGCCAAACTCCTGGATGAGGTCAAAGGACTCAACCAGGAAGACATGTTCGTCCAGCGGTGGAGACGCCATGGCACGCAGGGAGCCCACGTCTGCGCGCTGCACCCCTACCGCATAGATCTCGATGCCGCGGGCGCGCGCCTGCGCCGCCACCTCTGCTACGCGATCCTGGGGTCGCCCGTCTGTCACAATGACAGCGACCCGAGGCACTCGCGCCTCCGGGGGGCGCGCGCCCTCAGCCACGCTGAAGGCCACGTTCATGGCATACTGAATCGCCAGCCCGGTCATGGTGCCCTGCGCCAGGGGCACCAGGGCGCGGATGGCACGCTCCATATCTTCGCGGCGCAAGAAGGCCCCTAGCCGGAAGACGCTCTGCACTTGACTGGAATACTGGATCACGCCCACCCGCGTGGCGTTAGGGCCCAAGTCCAGGCCGCGGAGGAGGCCCACCAGGAACTGCCGCATTGTCTCAAACTCGAAGGGGCGCACGCTGCGCGAGCTGTCGATCACAAACACCAAATCCAGCGGCCCAGTACGGCATCTGGGACCTGCGAGATCAGGAAGGAAATTTCTTAGGTCAGCAAAGCCTCATCTCCGAAGAGACCCCAAGGAAACCTAAGGCAGAATGGTACTAACCCCGCATAACAGCGCCCATACAGAATTAGCCTAGCAAATACAAGTTAGATACACTCAGCCAGCATTTGCTGAGGGTCTGGGCTAGGAGAGTTCACCAATTCTCTATCCTACAGTTCTGAGGGCTATTCTGAGGAAGTATTATCCATTCGGGAGTGGGCAAGGGGATGCCACAAACTCAAATGTCTATAGGGGCCAGGCAGGCAACATAAATGAGTGAACTGGTGGGGTAGGACAGTGGACACCCAGAGAGCCCATACCTCTCCCAAAGTGGGCAGGCCCAGCCAAATGTTGCCATGCAGCCATGCGGACCTCATGTTAGCAGATCCTTGGATTTTTCAAGAGGCATTTCAAATCAGGGTTTTTATGTGAAAGCTCCTGATTTTTCACTTAACTTAAAATAATTAACACCAAATAGATATTGTACACGAGCCCGATTTTGTTACCTCTAAGCCAGGGGTCCCCAATCCCCTGGGCCATGGACAGGTACCAGTCCTCGGCCTGTTAGGGACAGGGCCACAGAGCAGGAGGTGATCAATGGGTGAGTGAGCAAAGCTTCATCTATATTTGCAGCCGCTCCCCAATGCTAGCACCTCCACCTCAGCTCTACCTCAGATCATCAGGCATTAGATTCTCATAGGAGCCCCGGTCGTCCCTGGTGCCAAAAAGGTTGGGGACCGCTGCTCTAAGCCACTCTAAGCCACTGAGGCCCAGAAAAACGAAGTAGTGAACTCAAATCCAGTCCCTGTGGATCCAAAGCTCTTGCTTTTCTCTCCCCAGCAGGCTTAGCTGGCTGCAGATGGTTCCCCTCCCCTTGCTGGTGAGGGCTGGGCCCCAGCTCACCTGCAAACTGGAGCTGGGTTTCCCAGGGCTGGAGAAGGAGCAGCAACATGGGCAGTGATGAGCAAGGAAGGACCCTCATGGTGCTTGGGGAACAGAGGATGGAGGTGTCAGAGCCTGGAGGGAGGAAGGGAAACAGCAAAGCAATAATATTTGCAGAAGTCTCATTTGGGGTGAGGGGCACTTGGAGAGGGAGGAGGGTCATGGGTTTATTTTACCAATCTCTCTACTTTTATGTACGTTTGGAATTTTTCATAATAATTAAATTTCATTCCGGTGGGCTTGTTGGGAAACACAAAGAATTCTGCTCCATAAAATTGCAGAATAGTAGTAAATAAATAGTGGATAAAAGTATACAAATGCCAGGCAGAGTGTTAAACGCATCACATGCATTGTGGCATCTAATCCTCTCGACAATTCTATGAGACTAAGGCTGTTATTGTTCCCATTGTACAGATAAGGAACTGCCTCAGAAAAGTTAAGCGCGGGTACCCAAGGTCGCACGACGAGAAAGTGGCTGCGCCAAGATACAGTCCTATGCCTAGGGGATTCCGAGTACCAGCCGAAGTATTCCACGCCCTCTTCTCCCAGAAGGAGAACCGCTGCAGGCGGAAGCCATTCTCCATCTGGGGAAGGGGACTACACTCCGCCTATGAGGAGCCTCTGTATGGTTGTCTTTGCAACACACCCAAGCGCGCGCGCGTATTGAGACACGCACCGCCCAACCGCAAGCGGCTGGGGAGGGCAGTGCGCCCTTTCGGTGAGGGGGCGAACAGCGAGATGGCCAAAATGCACTTGAACTTGCGACTTGACGCCTCCACTTCCCGCCAGCTGTCAGGACAAGCCGCCAGGGGGCACCTTCTCGGGTCTGGGAGCGTTGGCTAGGTGGCCGTGGGAAGCCAACATCTGCCCAGCAGGTGCCCCTACTCAGAGCAAACAGAGGACCTGGAGCCCTGGGGCCTTGAAGATAAGGCCGGGCAGGATATATCTGGCGCGAGGAGCGCCCAGGAGCAGCAGTGCACAGGGTTCTGGGGACAGCGGCACTGGACGCGCCCAGAGGGCGGGGGCTTCGGAGCGCGGCTATGGACCTTGTGGGGGCAGCAGGTGAGCGCTCACCCTCCTGAGGCCCTGATGACACCCCTCGAGAATCAAGAAAGACTCCCATTGTACAGATGGGAAAAGTGAGGCTCAAGAAGGCGGCTCGCTGAGCTACAAAAGAACCTGCGAGTCCTGACTCCCCTTCTCCCTCTGAGCTGCCTGGCAACCTGGCGCATAGGAACCACTGAGCCTCTTGTCCTTCCATTCACTCCCTCTGCTCCCTGCCTTCCCACCCCCACCCCTCCGCCCCATGCTAAAGCTGCCTTAGCCATTTCTCTGTTGCTGTCTCATGGCAGAGGGGGCCAGCCGCCCCTAACCCAACCGCAGCCCCGCCCCTCCCCCCAATTCCGTGAATGAGCCTATTCTGAGTAAGGTCGGGTGCCTGCCGCTCACTCTAGGCGGCCTTCCGGTCCCGGATCTTCTCCGCCTTCGCCTTTCGGGCCTGGTAGAGGAACAAAAATCCCTCTGGCAGAGTCCATCGTGGGAGGGTGACTAAGCCAGATGTGCCAGCTGCTGGAGGTGGGAGGGTGCAGAATGCTTTCTCTAGCTTGGGCCATAGCCGAGGCCAGGACCCTTCGGGAGTATGTGGGTAAAGACACAGGGGGCCTTTGCCATCTCCCACCCTTTCCCACCTGCAGAAGCCTCTGGGCCCCCAAATCTTGATTAAGGTCCATCTTATCCTGCTCTTTGCCTGAGCCAACATCTCCTCTGGCACCCCAGCTCTACCCCAGAAACTCTAGAAAATGAAAATAGCAGCTGCCTCAAAGTCCATCACCTTTCCAACCCCTTCATTCTACAGAGGAAGAAACCAGGTCCAGAGAGGGTAGTGTCTCACTCAAGGACACACAGCAACGTGGTGACAAGGCAGATGCTAGAACCCAGAGCTCCTCTGAGGGGCTAACTAACCCCTGCGTTTAAATGAAAGATCTGTAAATGCCCATAGGGTGGCGAAAGTGGTTCGGAAGGGGGGAAATTCTGTGAATAATTCCTCAAGGCTTGGCTGAAGAGTCAATACCTTGAGGACGTTCCTGGGGCTTCTTGGAGGGAGGCAATTAGGGAAAATATTCCCTCCCCATTTGAGTGGCTTTGCTGCTGGGGGCTCAATTTGGAAAGGACACCACAGAAGTAGAGAAGGGCACGGCAGGTCAGAAGCGGCCCCCCTAGGCGGTGCAGCGCGGTTAAGTACCGGCGCCTGGTCTGGCTGGCCGTCTGCTCCCCCGCAGACCCCTCAGCGCCCCCAGGCCCTTTGACTCACCTGAGCCTGCTGGACAACTCAGAGGCGCGGCCGCTGAGCGGAGCCGACGGGCGGAGCCTCCCGGGCAGTTGGAGCAGGTAACGGCGCGGGCAGCGTGCCCGAAGTGGGGACTGCCAGGCAGCTGGAGCGAGCGGAGGCGGCGGCCGCATTTAACCCAGCCCGGCGTGTGGGGAGGGGGAGCTCCGGCTGCGACCCCTCCCACTGGCAGGGCGATCCCCCTTCCTCTGTGTCCCGGGGCGGGGCCAGAGCGGCGCCCCCTGCTCCCGCTACCCTGGGGAGCCGCAGAGGCGGGGGGCGGGGCCGGAATTTGGTAGAGCGGGTGGCTGGGCGGCTACCCTCTCCGCAGCCGGAATGCGTTGGAGGCCTCCGAGCCACTTTCCCGAGGAGAGCCCCAAGGGGCGGAGCGGACCTGGCTGGGCCCCGGCTGCCGGGCCCCGGCTGCCGGGCCCCGCTGCCCAGGACGCAGCCCGCCTCTTGCGCTCCGATGCCCCCTCCAGGAGTGAGGAGAGACCGTGGACACTGGTCCTGCCAAGAGGGTGGAGGATTCAGGACGGACAGGGTTCATGGCTCTCCCCGTCCCCACCTGGTGGTCCCTTAAATCTCTGTCATCGCGGACTCCTTTACATGTTCCCCGCAGTTGCTTAAGTCTTAGGCCCATTTGCCTTCATCCACCAAAACCCCCAGGCTGAGAAGCCACCAGGCCCCTAGGCTCTGACTGGCCCACTCCCCAGAGTCGATGGAGGCCTTGTGATCAAGAGGAGCAAAGCTGAGGCGGTAACAGGCCCCTTCTCTTGGGAGAAAGTGAAGAAGGAATATTGCTTTGATCCCAGAAAAATTCAAATGTTTTCCCCAAGATCCATGGGATGCGGTTTGGGGGCCCTTCCATGTTTGCAGGTAACTACAGGCAGGCAAGAGAGCACGCTGGTCCGGGGTTCTAGCAAAGGCTCTTCGCCCTTGACATCAAGACTTCACTGGGGTGGGTCCCCTTAGGGTTCAGGGAAGCTAGTGCCGTCACATACTCTGCCTCTTTTACAAGGCCAGCACAAGTGCGGCCTTTGTGCCACTGGGCCTCTCCCCAATCCTCCAGGCTGCCATGGGCATGGAGCCAGACTTGCGGAGTGGTGCTTGGGTGGTCCCGATGGGCTTGGTGCAGGCCTCATTGAGCACGGCGCAGCCCAAATATTTAGCCCACGACTTGCACGCCTCCTTTCCCTTGCCTGACACTTCCCCGCCTTGACTGGGAGTGGGCAGCACTAGAACTTCATTTCATTCAACCTGCGCGTTCTGGGACCCTGAAGCTCCCGGCTCCGTGCCTCCCAGGTCATCCCCTGAGCGCGCCACAGTCCTAAGGGAAGACGTACGCCGGTGCCTGCAGCAGCAGTGCGGGCAGACCGTGCGGATCCTTCACGCCAAGGTGGCCCAGAAATCATACGGAAATGAGAAGCGGTAGGTGCCTCAGTAGCCCCTCCCAGGCCCTCGAGGCCTTCAGCCTTATGCCCCTCCCCCCGCACCGCCATTTAGTGTCTTTTAGAACCTGGGGAGGGCTGGGGGCTCAGCTATTGGCCGATCAGGGGCCTTTTCCTTCCGTCACTACTAGTCCCCACTTTGATCTTAGCAGAACCTTCCTGGGAATCTACAGTCCCCGTTCATTTACTCACTCACCTATTCATTCATACTTTCATTCAATCACTACTAACTGAGTGCTTATCCTGTGCCAGGCTCTCTGGGCATCTCCGGGCACTAGGCATACAGCTGAATAACACAGACACAGTCCCTGTTCTCATGTCATCTCCACTCCAGTGTGAAAAGAGACAGACAATAAAGTCCTCACGTATCAGTGAACGAGATACTTCCAGATTGTGATGAGAGTGGTGCAATGTGACAGAAACCGAAGGAGAGGGTACTTTAGCTAGAAAGGTCAAAGTGACATCTGAACTGAGACCTGAGTGTGAAAATGGAGCGAGGCAGGAGGAAATCTGGGGAAAGGGTCTCCCAATTAGGAGGAACAGAAAATGCACAGATGTTGAGGCTGTACCAACTCCGCCTGCGTGAGGTAGGAAAGAAGTTAGAGTGGCTGGAATTAGAGAAGGGAAAGGGGTTCTAGGAAATAAAGTCTGAGAGGTAGGCAGGGGCCAGATCATGTGAGGACTTTGACTTTAAACCATTGGAGAATTTTAAGAGGATGAGTAACATGATTGACTCATGCCTTTAAAAATAAAAAAAAGGCAATCTGGCTGCTGGGTGGGGAAACAAGTTGAAGGTGGAGGAGTGGAAGCAGGAGTTGGAAAGCTGATGCGGTGTTTCTGATAGAGTGAAGGCAGGTGGGACGAAGGTGGAAGGTGTAAGAAGCCAGGGGGTTTTGGATATGTTTTGAAGGTGTATGGATAGGACTTACTGATGGGTTGAATGACGGAGTAATAAAATAAGTTTCAGATGTTAATGGAATTCACAGTCATGGAGAAGCCTGGGGAAGGTGGTGAGAGGCGTGAATCAAGGATTTTTTCCGGTTTCTGCTACCTTTGAGTTGCCTGCAAGACAGCCGAGTGGAGATGATACACGAGTCCAGCACTTATATGTCTCCACAGGTTCTTCTGCCCCCCGCCCTGTGTCTACCTCACAGGTCCCGGCTGGAGGGTGAAGCCAGTGCAGGGCCAAGGTGAGGGAGGACTCCAGGGCTGTGGTCGCCTCCTTCGGTAGGGATACGATGCAGAAGGACCTGGGAGCGGGGCGGTTCGCAGGCTCGGTCTCGCCGCGCCCTCTGGCGGCGAAAACAAGGCTTGCCTGGCACCGGAGTCCGCCCCAAGTCCTTCCAGCGCGCCCTCGCCTCCCTTTCCATCAGGGGAGACGGGGTCCACGGTCTGCGGTTACATGGGACTGGACGGCGCATCTGGCAGCGCCGCCGAGACGCAGAAGTTAAATTTCGAGGAGCAGCCGGACTCCAGGGTGAGAGTGCATGGGAGGAGGTCCTATTCCTGCTCCCATCCTTGCCTCTCCTCTCGGGAGGAGGGCTCATTTACTCCCGTGCAGAAGCCGAGAGATAGGTATGGAGGCTGGGAGACCGGGATTCTGCATGGAGGGTGCGATCGAGAGCTCGGATCGTGCCGCTCACGTCACGTCCGACGGGGCGAACCTCACATAACGAGGGGAGGTCGGTTCATCCCGTAGAGGAGGCCTGAGACCAGCCGGCCTTATCCCCGCGAACTCCGTAGGAATTCGGTTGCGCCAAGACCCTATACATCTCAGATGCAGACAAAAGGAAGCATTTCCGGCTGGTGCTGCGGCTTGTGCTACGAGGAGGCCGGGAGCTGGGCACCTTCCACAGCCGCCTTATCAAGGTCATCTCGAAGCCCTCTCAGAAGAAGCAGTCGCTGAAAAACACCGACCGTGAGCAGAGCAGGGCCTGAGTTCAGGGCAGGGTGGGGAGGTGTAGTCGAGTTTGGAACCCCTGGGTTTGGAAGGGAGATAGGCCTGGATTATAGGAGTGGGGTCGGAGTGGGTGAGGGGGAGCCTGGGCTGAAAGGGGCGGGGTCTGGATGAGCTGGTGCGCCGTAGGTCTAGGAATGAAAAGTTAAAGAAGCAAGGGCGGAGGAAAGGAGGCAGAAAGCAGACTTGGGAGCCCCTCAAACGGCCGGCAGGTGCTGAAGTAAAGACAGGTTCAAAGTGACAATTAAAAGGCAGAGGAAATTCAGGGCCTGCTCTGTGCCTGGCTCTGGGCTGAGTGCTGGATCGCTATGAAGCAAGGGCAAGTGTCCGCTCTGGAGGAACGCACGGTCTAGGGGAGGGGGACACGCACAGCAGATCAAAGAGACAGTTTGAGATAAGTGTCCCGGGTGCCAAGTGACAAATCCCAGGGCTGGGGGCTTTGAGAATATGAGAGAGAAAACAATGCCTGAATAACAATGACACCACCACGACTTCTCGCGCTGGGAGGTTTGAGGTAGGGTTCGGAGAAGGGAGAGGGGGCTTTCCAGGCGCACACTTACATGCATCACACTATTTGATGCTCACTGTGTCCCTGTGAGGCAGGTACTATCATTGTTCCTATGTCGTAGATGAGAAAAATGAGGTTTGGAACATTCATCCATTCATTTGAGAAATATTTGAGCCTATCATATTCCAGGTGACTTGCCTAAGATTGCCCAACTAGGAAATGGCCCAGCCAGGATTTCGACTGGCGTCACTGTAACTCTGGAGCCCAGCTCCTACCCCTACACCATACTTAGTTTCTGTCTGTTAAAAATCTGAGAATGTCTCAGATCCGGGCAGTGCTGTGGCTGGCCCTTGGTATCGGGAAGGGACCAGAGAGGAGTAAGTGGTATAGTGTGGTGGGTGCGATGCGGATCTTGGAACCAGGCAGCCTGGCTTTGAATCTGGCTCTGCCCTTCGCTAGTCATGTGATTTTCAGCAAGTTGACCTTTTAAATAGAGATATTATTTACTTCAGAGGGTTGTTGAGAGACTCAAATGAGCTAATACTTATAAAGCATTTAAAACAGTACCTGACACATGAGAAAGGTTAGTCATTATTCAATGGAACTTGGGCTAAGTATAACTTGAACACAGTATGCCTAGCACTGTGAGGGGAGAGAGGGAGATGACCCAGAGCTCCCTCGCCAGGGGGTCAAAGTCCAATCAGAAAACAAAACTGTGGCTCTGTGTATGTGATAGGCTGGAAGAGATCAGAGTCATGCCCTAGAGACATTGTACTGCTATTTCACACCATATGGCCTCTGCTTATGCAGCCTCCTGTGCAACTCCTATCTACTTCATGCTCCCCAGCTGAGTGTATAACCTCCTCCAGGAAGCCCTCCTTAGCCCGGCCCACACCACATCATCCTGAACTTTTATTTTTATGTTCCTATCTCCGCTCTAAGACTGCAATTTCCTCCAGAGCAAAACTGGATCTAATTCACCCTTTGGTGCCCAGTACCCAGCATGGTGCCTGCCACAAAGTAGTCACTTAGTGAATACTTGATAAAATTCTGTTTATTGCACTACAGGATGCCCAGGCAGTCAAAGGGAACAGGCAAACATGCAGGAGTAGGACCAGGGCAGGTTTGAGATAAATAACTGTGAAATATGAATAGCAAGTGTATCTGGGCCAGTGGCCAATGAGCCAGACTGGCACAGGGGACAGCGCTTCAGATATGTCTGGCAAATCCCAGGGACCAAGATGGGCCAGGGCACTGATTCCACCTCCCCTCACAGTGTGCATATCCTCGGGCTCCAAGGTCTCCCTCTTCAACCGCCTGCGCTCCCAGACGGTCTCCACGCGCTACCTCTCTGTGGAGGACGGGGCCTTCGTGGCCAGCGCACGCCAGTGGGCTGCCTTCACTCTCCACCTGGGTAATTGAGGCAGCGGATCAGGGCTGGGCACTTCACATGCATTAGCTTATTTAATCTTCACAGCAACTGCTTAAGGAAGGTAGACTCTGCCCTTGGAACTGAGGCTTTGAAACACAAAAAGACTTGCCAAAGTTCCTAGTGCGTGGGTGGGTGGCTGATCCAAGCTCTTCTGACTCATGTCCAGCCCATTTCCTCACCTCAGCCCCCACGCCAGGGGGCAGACATTTTCAAGGATGACCCCTCCAGGATAAGAACTTTCAGGCTTAACTGCCTCCCTATGTGCCAACGCCACCCACAAGATTCATGTGTGATGTGGGGTGGAACCAGAGGCAAGAAAGGCAGGGTTTGGGGCAGAAACTTGGGGCCTCCTGAAACTCTCCTTTCTTGTTCCTCCCTTCCTTTCATCCCCAGCTGATGACCACTGTTCTCAGGGAGACTTCCCACCTCGAGAGGGCTACATCCGCTATGGCTCCCTGGTGCAGCTCGTCTGCACCGTCACGGGCATCACACTACCTCCTATGGTATGAGAAGGGAGCCCTCCCCCCCCTCCCAGATCCATGCAGAAGGTATGACCCACATGGGCAGGGCTGGAGGGTGAGGGCGCAAAGCATGATGACATCTATTCAATTCTCAGCCAAGACACTCAGTGCTTTGTGGAGCTGGATGGAGGTAAAGGGCTGGCATGGCTATTGGAGTAGCAAAAAGCGGACTGGGAAGGTGGCCTCTGAGCAGCCAGGCGCCTTGCTGCCCCACTTCCTGCCACCCTTCTGTTGTAGATCATCCGCAAAGTAACCAAACAGTGTGCTCTCCTCGACGTAGACGAGCCCATCTCCCAACTGCACAAGTGTGCCTTTCAGTTTCCAGGTGGTCCTTCCGGAGGCGGTGGCACCTACTTATGTCTCGCCACAGAGAAGGTGGTGCAGTTCCAGGTGAGAAGCAGGGCATATCAACACCAAGCATCCTAGAAAGTCAGAACCCAGAGAACCATAGTCTGTAAGACCATCATCATCATAATGGCTGCTCCTTACTGAGCCATACTGCCTCCCATGGAATGGTAGAATCATAGATAATTAGGACAGAATCAGAGAATGGAGGGAAAATAGCAATAATATCATTGAGCAATACTCCTTCCCAAAGAATATTAGAGTCATAGAATATTAGGATGTGAAATGGTAGAATGTAAATACATAATGAGTAATAGTACTGAGGATTATTGAGCAAAGACTATTAAAATCATAAAATGTTGAGACAGAAATGTAGAATGTGAAAGATTATTATTATTATTAAGCAATACTACTCCCCAAAGAAAATTATCATAGAATGTTGACAGAGAATCTCAAAATATGTAGAAAATAACATTATTGAGCAATATTCCTCCCAAAGAATTTTAAAATTGTAGAATGTTAAGGCATAGAATTGCACAGTGTCAACAAACAGAATTCTAGAATCCTAAGAAATAGAAACCAGCTCGTCCAGCGAACTTATTTAACTCCGAGGGAACTGAAGGGTCTTGTCCAAGCTGACAGGGCAGGTAAACCGCAGAGCCGGGGACTGGAACCCGGAAGGCGTAAGCCCAGGCACCATGCGGGGTCCCCCACGCTGGTGGCCACCCTCAGAAGCTTCTGCCCCGTCCCCTCCGATCTCCTCTCAGGCCTCCCCCTGCCCTAAGGAGGCGAACAGGGCGCTGCTCAACGACAGCTCTTGCTGGACCATTATCGGGACGGAGTCGGTGGAATTCTCCTTCAGCACCAGCCTGGCGTGTACCCGGGAGCCGGTCACTCCGGTGCCCCTCATCCGCACCCTCGAGGTGAATCCGGGCGCTGGGGGGCGCTGGCGGGCTGGGCTGGCGAAGGAGAGCAGCAGGGCCTTGGCCACTCCTTTCCCCACACGACCTGGTCTCACCCTCCGCCAGCTGAGTGGCGGGGGCGACGTGGCCACGCTGGAGCTTCACGGAGAGAACTTCCACGCGGAGCTCAAGGTGTGGTTCGGGGACGTGGAGGCCGAAACCATGTACAGGTACGGAGGTGGGGCCTCCTTTAGGCCCCGGGGCAGTGGACGAGGGGCGCGCCTGTCATTAGCTCTAAGTGATGTCACTGCAGCCCTCACCCCCGTGCCCCACCCCTAGGAGCCCGCGGTCCCTGGTGTGCGTGGTGCCCGACGTGGCCACCTTCAGCAGCGACTGGCGCTGGCTGCGCACGCCCATCACGGTGGCGGTGAGCCTGGTGCGCGCCGACGGCCTCTTCTACCCCAGCGCGTTCTCCTTCACCTACACCCCGGAATACAGCGCGCGTCCGGGCCCCTCGGGCGTCGCGGAGCCCGCCACCGACCCCGACGCCGACGCCGACGCCGACACGCTCCTCGAAAGCATCCACCACGAGTTCACGCGCACCAACTTCCACCTCTTCATCCAGACTTAGGCGCGCCCAGGCCCGTCCCCATGCCGGTTTTCTGGGGTCCTAGGCTCTGTCCTCTGCATCCTTTGCTGCGGAAGAGAAGGCCAACGTTTCAGCAGCAGAAGGCTCTCGCCATAGAAACTCGGCCCTGCTGTTCTTACATAGGTCACTCGCTCCTCCTTTGACATCTAGGAAGACACCACCCGAGTGGTGCATTCTTTGCGTCCAGGCACGAGGGCGGCTCTCCCTGCCTTTGTCTCTGTTCGATCTCTAAATCCATCTCTGTCTCTCTCCCTCAGGAACTTTGTCGATCTCTAGTTGTGTGTCCCTATTCCTCCATCTTTGTCTCTCTTTCTGTGTGTGTGTCTCACAGACGGTTTCACACTCTGAGGAGCCAAGCCAGGAAGCTGTTTTCTCTTCTTTCCTCTTGAAAAGAAAACACATAGTTTCACACACCCAGACATGGCCTGCAAGCCCAGGATCTGCAGATCCTGACCGGAGTACTGAGTCTTAACCTCAAGCACAAGTCCGGCCTGGAGCACTGAGTTCCGCCTGGAGCACCACGTCTCTCCTAGGGCACGAGGTCTCACCTGAAGCATGGGGCTCACTGCAACACCAAGTCCTACCTGGAGCACCAGGTCCTGCATGGAGCACTGAGTTCCACCCTGAAACACAAAGACCTGCCCCTCTTGGTACTCCCTATGGCTGGAGCCAGGCATAGCACCCTGGCCTATGTTTGCTCTCTGGCTCACAGCTTTGGTGGCTGGGCAGGTGCCTGGGTCAGTGGGTAAGTCCTGCCATCTTAACTGTCCACTCGGGTACTTTATTCACATATCCAGTAGGATGCAGTTCTGAGGATCAGGGATCCCTCTGCTGTGCTAGCAGCACCCCAATCTAAGGCAGAGTCTGATCTGTATGACCCACCTGCCCAAGAGGGAGGGGCCCAGTACTTCCCCACCTTCACTCACAGAGAGAGGAAGGAACCACAGTTTGATGGAACAGAGAGCCTATCTTTTTGATCTTTTATAGAGAAGGAATGGGGTTCAGAAGCAGCTGGCATCTCTGACCCCTGTCCCTGACCCCTGCCTCTACCCTGGGCTCTTGTGATAAGTTACCTTACTAGCTATCCCCCTACCCCAAGCAAAGATGCACCCCGGGCCGAGAAGCAAACACAGGACACAGAACGAAACTTTCCTGAGACAACTCCAGGCAGAACTCTTGGGATCAACTGAGCAATAACCCAGTTGAGAGAGGACCTTCTCTGCATGGGGCCTGGGGACCAAGTCACAGGCCACCCCTACCCAGCCTTTCCACCTTCTGCCTGGTCTGTGTTCTACAGAGAAGCAGAAGAACCAAGCAGGATCCTAGCTCCGGCCGCTGGAACCAGGGACAGAGATATCACGGGTGACAGCTACCTGTCCCAGCTGCTGGTGGTGCCAAATGGGGAGAACTGGTCTGAAATGTGGGTTCAGGGCTCTCACTCCCCGCCCCCCAGGCCCTTCCTTCAACTCTAAGAAGTTCATTTCATGCAAAACTCCTCCCCCAGAACATGGAAAGCCCCGTGAGAAAAAAAGATGCTGAAGTTTCCCAAGGGGTTTGCCCTCCAGACTCCCTAAAGTCTCCATCAGCAGTCTGACCCCACCATGATGGGGAAGAAGCAGCTTGTTCAAAGCCTCTCATGGTCTCTGAGAGTGAATCCTGGTGGAGGAATGCAGGGCACAAGTTGCATGGGATACGTCCTCCATGTGAGCAAACGCCTCAGGAGAGCTCAAGGTCATTGCCTGTGATGATGTTGAAGCAGGAAACCACCCAGAAGAAGATTAAGTGGAGTTTCACAGTGCATTACCCAGGAAGTTGGGGCTCAAGGGCCCTTCCTGCCCTGCCCTCAAGGACTTCCTTTGCCACTCCACAAGGCAGGAGTGTTGGAAGCCAAGAACCTAGGTTGACCTGAAAACCCAGGTTCAGCCGTGTAGCTCTGTCTTCTCTCTGCACTTTTGCCTTGGATCAAAGGACTTTATGTACGTATCAAATGTGACCTCTAGACAGTGAACTTCAGGTGGAAAAGAGCTCACTGCTGCATGCCCTGGAGGGTTCAGGACACTGCCTCGAACTTTGAGTTGAGGCTCAATAAATACCAAATTGCCTTGGCAGACACTTGGAAATTGCAAGTGCAAAGTGAAACCAGCAGATGGCACAGTTTCCTTCCCAAGAATCGAGTTTTGTTTATCTTGAAACTGTTAGCGTCCAGAAAAGACAAGTTTAACTTTCAAGCTCTCGGGATCGGAATCTCCCAGGGTTGAGAATCATCGCCTTCGTCCATATTTCCTCCTCATTTTACAGATAGGGAAACTGAGACTCTGAGAGAGAAGACCCACGAAGCTCTGAGAGCAAGTCGATTGCAGAGCCTGATTTGAATCCTATACTCAGGATACTAAGTGTGTGGCTCTGAGGTTCTTTTAATTCTCTACCTAGTAGCCTTTAATACTCTTTAATTTGCTTTTAGGTGTAGGTAGAGTGTGTGTGTTACAGGGGTGGGGAGTGGGGGATAGGGCACATTGTAAAATCTAACAAAATCTCTGTTCCAAAGTCTCCCAGTTTACCAGTTCTCATGCTGCTTGATGTTCCACTACGAGCAATCTAATCTTCTGGTTTAAGCATGGGCCTCTGAGTTTATCTCCCTCTCTATCTGTCTCTGTGTCTGTCTCTGTCTCTCTCTCTCTCTCTCTCCCTCTCTGTCTCTCCCCCGCCCCCTGTTTCTTTTAAATTGGGTTTTCTCAAAGAGAAACTCATAACCACAGTGTGGGTAAAATTCTCAGACACCTTCCTCCCTTGGGAGGATAAGGGCTGCTCAAGGCCTAGACTGTGAAGATGGTGAGAGAAAGAGGAAGTGGCTTTGAGAGGAGCAGAACCAATAACACATTATCTAATAAGTTTTGCAAGGGTCAGTCCTGACCATACTCACCAATAAAGTCCCCCTAGTCAGGTTTGGTTTCGTTCCAGACCTCAAGGGACAAAGGCAGGCGGAGCAGCTGTGGTGAAGTGGTAAACACCTGTTGTAGCTGGCTGCTGGCCACTTGGAAGGGAGTGGAGGAGGGAGTGGGGATGGGAGAGGGAGGCAAAGCCTCCTGACCAAGTTCTTTATGAACTCACTTTGGTGTTGAAGCATTGAAGTGTGGCCCACTCTGCCAAACTCATTCCCAAGTTACTATCTGATTCAGTATATCCTCCCCGCCCCGCCAGCTGGGGTCTATAAGTGCACCATTAGCACCCCACCCTGGGGAGAAGTGTCCTGGGCGTGGCTGGTTTTGTCCCGGCATATACATATATTTCTGCTCATACTAATTCCTCATATGTATTTTCAGAGGAGTCACCTTAAAATGAAGAAATGTAGATCTCATGGTGACTTTTCAGACAACAGCCGTCTCAGAGTCAAAGCAGTATACCCTAATAGGTGAGATTGACAAGTTCAAAATCACTTAACCTCTCTGTGCCTCAGTTTCCTCTTCTATAAATGGGGATAATTGTATTTGTTTCATAGGATGTCATGAGGAATAAAATAATTAATATATGTAAAGCACTTTCAACACGGCCTGGCCCGTGGTAACCACTTTATATGGGCTAACTGCTGTCGTTGCTACTCCAGAAGCACTTTTAGAGATAATCTAAATACTCCAGTCTCTCTCCACCTAACAGATGGAGAAATCGATGGTCCAGGGGGGTGGTAATGACCTTCCTATGTTAGTTTTCTCTGTTGTGTAACAAGTTACCACAAATGTAGTGGGTTAAATCAACATGCGTTTATTGTCCCAGTCTCCTGTGCTATAATCAAGCCAGGGCTTCAGTCTCTTTGAGGCACAGGGTCCTCTTCCAAGCTCACAGGGTGGTGGGTAAAATTCATTTCTTTGTAGCTGTAAAACTCAAGGTCAACAAGAGAGCATCATTCCTATCGGGACAGTACCAGACCCTCTTCTAAGGGCTTCCGACTGATTCAGTCTGGCCCACCCCGGATAATCTCCCTTTTCGCTAACTCAAAAATCGATTCATTTGGGACCTTAAGTACATCTGCAAAATACCTTCACCTTTGCTATCTAATGGAACCTAATTGTAGACACCAAGGGGCAGAAATCTTGGGGGCCATTTTAGAATTCTGCCTATCTCCAAAACTCTGAACAGGGGTTCATTTATCTGGAGAGCTAGCTCTGGGTAGAACTTGGAGTAAAATCATTTCTGAGAATTGAGCAGGGATGCAAAGTGGGTTTTGGACAACACTGGGCCATTTTTGTTTATGATCCTGCCCATCTTCTGAGGCAGCAGAACTGCCCACTGCACGGGGCGATTCCTTCACGGGGTGTGGGAGAACCAAATAGATGTTCCCTTGCCAATAATTTGCTATGCAGTCTTGTGCCCTGCCCTTCTGTAGTCCCCTCTTGCAAGGCTGATCTGTGGGACCAATAGGATATTGCAGAAATGACAGCGTGTGACTTCCACTGTCTCCATTGGATCACTCTATGGGAAAAGCCAGATGCTATCTTGAGGACACTCAAACAGCCCCATGGGGTCTAAATAGTATGGAACTGAGGTCTCCTGCCAACAGCCAGCACCAGCTTGCCAGACGTGCAAGTGAGCCCCCCAGTGAAGGGGGCTTTGGGTGACATAAACCTTCTAAGATTGGCAGTTTGGTTACGAGCAGACTCTAGAACTCACCTGCCTGGGTTCAAATCCTGCCTCTGTCCTTGGTAGCTGTATCAATTAGGGCAAGTTATTTAACGTCTTAGCTGCAGTTTCCCCATCTGTAAAATAGGGATGCTAACAGCACCCACTCTGTGATTATCGTAACAATTAAACGGGTCCATGTGTAAAACAGAATGGGTTCCTGGCACACGCGTGTGACATGGGGGTTTGCTTCCACTACCAGTTCCTCTTCCCATCTTCTCCCCAACCCTAGGGAAGCACTGAGCCAACATGGCACCAAGGAAAGACCATGAAAATCCAGAGCCCTGGGATTAAGGTTTTAATTTGCACAGACAAGCTAAGGGCAGAGGGTCCCTTGATCTAAAGGATCTTACCCACTTACCAGGGTTACAAAGATTGACACATTTAGAGTCTGCCAACTACAGTGCCTGCTGAGGCCAAGCAGGTGACATGAGAGAAGCTAGTGGAAGGGGACTGGCGAGGCCGAGGACCACGTCCAGATGGGCTCCAGCTGTCAGCAACTGCCAACTGCCGCCCTGCACCCTGAGAGCTGTCAAACCTTATTTTCCCTAAGACAAGCAAGGAATCTGGATTTTTATGGGAGATGATCTCATTTTTATAGGTGGTGACTAATCCAAGGACTTTCGTGTTTGTTTTGTAAACACATATGACTGGCCTAGGTAGGTGAGACACAACTCACAGGCCACACGCCCCACAAGGCCACACGTGCCTGCTCTAACTTTCTTCCCCTCCAGGTCCTTTCCTGACTCCTTATATTTCTGTCCCTGAGTGTCTGGCACCCCAAAGGGCATTCAGTCAGGGCAGTTATCCCAGGCTCCATCGATATCAAGGGAGGGACAAGAGCCCAGAAAAGTTGACTTCTTATGAACTTAAAAATCACAGAGGCAGGTGATCTAGAAAGTACCAAGTTTTATTACCTTTTTATCAAAAATCAGTAACAGACAACAATGTGAGTGCTCACTCCCAACACAGCCAGAGGAAAGGACACGGGGGTGGGGTTTGGTAGAGAAAAGGACCCAGCCAGCTGGGAATCCTGGGGTATGGGGGTGAAGGGTGTGGGAAGCAAGACTGATTCCCCTGAACCCCAGACAGTGGGGTCAGAAGATGCAGCCTGCACAGGGCTAAGCCACCAGGCCTCTCCTCTCTGGAGAGGGAAGGTCAGATAACAGGCTCTAGAGCTTGGGCCTCATCATCTCTCCCCAACCCCACCCCACATCGCCCAGGGTGACGAAGGTCATCCCAGCAAAGCTGGGGCTGTGACTCGCTAAGCCAGTTTAGTTCTCTAGCAGTGTTGTCCAATAGATGGAAATGGTCTCTCCCTGCCTGCTCGCTACAGCAGCCACTAGCCACACGTGGCAACTGAGCACTTGAAATGTGGTTAGTGTAACTGAGAAATGGATTTGTAATTTTATATCGTTTTAATTGATTTAAATAGCTACATGTGGCCAGTGGTTACTGTATTGGCTAGTGCAGCGCTTCAATTTTCTCTTAAATTTGGAGAAATGAAGGAATACCAGCTGGACTCAAAGCAGAAGCTAGAAAGAAGGTAGAACTGGTCTACTCCGAACTATTCTAGCCTAATGAGAAGAAGGCACCAGGAATGGGGCAAGAGAAAGAGGCAAAAACCCCACTCAGCCACATAAAAATTCACTCACTCAACCAACCAGCCAAGTTCAAATTGGAAATATCACACTTATCTCCTGAAAAAATATATTTATCTATTTTTCTAGAACCTTGAAAGAATAATAATATATTACAAGAAAGGAGACACAAATATCCCACCATCCCTTACATTGCATTTTGGGATCTGCTAGAAAACTATGTCTCGGCAAGCCAAGTTTAAATTGGAAATATCACACTTATCTCCTGAAAAAATATATTTATCTATTTTTCTAGAACCTTGAAAGAATAATAATATATTACAAGAAAGGAGACACAAATATCCCACCATCCCTTACATTGCATTTTGGGATCTGCTAGAAAACTATGTCTCGGCAAAAGCTGCTGCTTAGAGGAAGCAGCTTCAGAAAGGGTTGAAGTCACAAAAAGGAGTGTAAAATATACTTTTAAAAATGGGGAGGGGATTTAAAGAAAAGGAGAGAGAGACCCTGTCTGAAGCTATAAATAGTAAAATAAAAAAAAAATTAATAAAAATCGTATCTCTGGTTCTTTTCTCATTTTTGAGAAACAGAAACAAAAAACAGTTCATAAAATACAAACTTAGCAGGTTCTGTGGAAACGTGCAAGAGAGCGGAGGATGCCTCAGCACCTGTGTGCTCTGGCCCAGGCAGAGCCTCTGCACAAAGGAATGAACTGTCAAAAAAGACACCCCGCTCTTCTACGAATTCATTTAATCATATCTCTGGTTCTTTTCTCACTTTTGAGAAACAGAAACAAAAAACAGCTCATAAAATACAAACTTAGCAGGTTCTGTGGAAACGTGCAAGAGAGCGGAGGACGCCTCAGCACCTGTGTGCTCTGGCCCAGGCAGAGCCTCTGCACAAAGGAATGAACTGTCAAAAAAGACACCCCGCTCTTCTACGAATTCATTTCGGTGTGAACTTTCAGCTTCTCTCCCCGCCCTCCTTGCTTCCCCTCCCTCCCCACATAAAAAAGGTTGATCTCCAAAAAAAGTCACTTGAAAGAGCCTAGAATGGCCCAAGATATATACCCACAGAGACTGCTGTAGTGTGGACAGGAGCGCCCCTTGACAGACACATCTTAAGGTGTGGGTGGTTCTAGTTCCTTCTCCCAGTTCCTGGCAGAGGGACCAGCTGTGAAGGGGAGCAGGAGGGAGCGGGGCGCTGGGGACGGACCCCCAGCAGGATTCATAGGACAGCTTCAGAGGGGCTCTGAATGAGGCATGGTCAGTATAGGCTCTAAGCTGGGCCTAGATTCTAAACTGGAAAATGAAGAAATGATCCAATCCTAGACTTGCCTTCGGAAAGGCCAAGTGTAGCCTCATTTTTCTGCTGGAACGATCAAGAAGCGGCAGGCAGGAACAGTAGAAGATGACGTCTCTCCTGACACTTAAGTCGTAGTCAGAGCTGGAGATGCCGACAGTATTAGGTTGCCCTCCCCCTACCTTACTGTTCACCCTCCAAAATCCTTCGGCTTCCCACCCCCCTCACGTCCAAGCCAGTGCCCCTGAGGAAGCTTCAGGCATAGAACTCGTTGGTGGGGGCTTTTTTGTAGATGGGTTTCTTGCCCAGGTCGTAGCTGCCTTCGTCCTTCTTCTTCATGCGGTACACCAGCAGCAGGACCAAAAAAACGGCAAAGAGGATGCCCACGACGCCGCCCACAATCAGAGCTGAAAGGAAGAGAGGGGACAGTGAGGTGAGAGCTGCTCCTCGGGACCTTGGGTGCCCTCCCTCAGCCACCTGGTCAATTCTCTTACGGCTTCACCACTGCCGCCGCCTGTGCCCAGCATGCTGATGGCTTATTTGATCCTCAAGACCTCACTCTTGAGAAGGGGGCCATCACCAGAAGTCACTAAAGACCACAGGGCCAGAGCGGCAAAGCCACCATTCTAACCCACATCTGCCTGAGTCCAAAGCCAGGCTCTTTCCCAGCAGCAGGCCAATTCCCCAGCAGCAGCTTGGCCCTAACTGAGCCGGAAGCCAGAAATATCCCACGGTCCTCTAGCTGTCCCTGTGTGCACACGAAACCGCGCCAGCCTACACGTCTACAGACAGGTATACAGATCTATCTGCACACAAGTATACCCTGCCATACACGGGTGTAACACACTATCATGTCATACTACTATGTTATAGACTATTACAGGTGGTGGTTTATGACCCTACATATGTAGCTCAGTGGTTAAGGCCTAGCACTCACTCCCATCTCTCCCGCTTAACTGGCTGGGTGACCCTAGGCAAGTTCCTTCATCTAACTCGTTGCAAAATGGAAATAATGAGTACCTTTTTCATACGTTTGTCCTAAGGATCAAATACATTAATCCACTTAAAGTGCTTAGAAGTGCACGGCATATGCTCAATACTCATTAATTGTACACATCTGGGGTTTCTATCCGTGCCCCCAGCACCCTGAATCAGGCCGGCATGACAGTAAGTACTTAAAAAATGACACTCACGGTTTGACTCAGAGAGAAGCACAGCCCAAGGGCACCTGGCCAGTGTCGGGCAGATGTGGGCTTCGAACCCCGATGAGTGTATGTTCTCTGCACTACGCCAGGCGGCCTGAATGGCTCATTCCTGTTTGTTGTGGGGGCAGGGATGTCTCACAGAATCCTTTCTGTGGCAGATTGAGTCTCCTAATTCG